ATGGTTTTGAATTGAAGGGACAAGAGCGCCACCAACAAGCAGTCGGGTCCATAGCAAGCACTGTTTTTTTGGTGACCGTAATGGGGATGTTGGTTGCATTAAACAAGAAGGCAGGCAGTTGGGTGCTGGAAGGGCTCCATAAATCCCAGATTGACCCAGTTTCTGTCGCTGGGAGACGAAACTGCTTGGCAAAAGTCTTTTGCATCTGAAGCGCCCAACTCGAGCTGTGACCGGCACCCGGAAATGAGTGCCGACTTTTCCCAAAAAAGCCTTGCTTTGAAGCCGTGTGTGCCTTTCGCGCCCCATGTAGCAACCAGATTTGCTACCCAGTTTCCAACCATCATGTTGGTTGAAAAGTCCAGGTCGACCCACCGAATTTCCAGCAACCCGACGCCTTGGTGTTTTCGCTTTTTCTTCCGGAGGCGATCAAGGTGCATTCTTCCACATCGCAGCACGCGTGCTTGGACCAGATCTTGCAGCTGGACGTTGCGAAAGCTCAGGCCTCTTACCCTGCAGACAAGGACTGACGTCTGAACCCGTTCCAAGAATTGGCCGGGCTCTTCGAACCAAAACGAGGTTTGTCTTTTCGGGTAGCCCAGTGCTTCTAGTAACCACTACCTGGAGTCTCCATGACCCTCTAAAAATGGGTCAATGACCCCATTATTTTGGGTAATGACCCCATTTTGTAAGGGTCATGGAGACTCCAGGTGTAGCCGACAAGTTGGGACACCTAGAGCTTGGCCGAACATCCAACTGGCCTTTAGAAAAGGTGACGTTTAACCCCCTTGAGGAAGTACAAGGATTTCCTGGGGATGCTGCACATCGGTTTCAGTGGGGGAGTTCGGGAACAACCCTTTCTGCCAAGCATTGCGGCTGCTTGGTTCAACATTGGACTTGTATGGGATTCTTGTATGGAACGGTTACGAACCCTCCTAAACCACTCAGAAACGGTAAGTGACACGTGTAGGAAACCCCAGCATGAGCTCCTCCTTGTCAACTCATATGTCCACGAATTCAAATACAGAGCATCGTACTAATGAGTTCATCAGCGCGACACTCTCAACACTCCGTAAAGTTGTAGTGACACATCTGCTTTCCCACATAGGTTGCACAAGGATGAGTGGCCCTTTCGCACCGTACAGGCTCCAGAGCTCCCAAGAAATCCTCCACGACTTGACAAAAAGGTATCCCCAGTCTTCCGGAGGGAAGTGCCTAAGCGGAAGCCGCGAAAAACTGGGCGGAACACCTGGGCTTGTGCCATAAATACCCCCAATCACAGCCCATTTCCATGGGTTCCAGATCCATTTCCGCGGATGAGGCGGACCCTTGGAGATCCATTTGAGCTGGTCTTGGATTTTTTTCAGGGTCACCCAGTGCTTCCAGGCGTTTCGCCACTATAGTAAGAGCTCTAGTAGGAAACCAGGTCCGGAATCCTCGCGGTTTTAAATCATGGGGAAACCCCTGCTTACCTAGGGGACCCCACCAGAATGATGGTGTTCTTTTTCGGTTCCCCTCTAAAAAAACACAAAAAACTCAGTACCCCTCTCAGTGCCCGGCTGAATCCATCAAGTCGCCCGGAAAGTTCCCAGGAGCTGGTTTTGAGCAAGATCGATGACACCCAGGCGCGGGCCAACATGCTGTTGGGTCAAAAGCAATCAAAACAATTATGCAAACAACTAACTAGCCGAGCCAAGCGACACAACCCAACCAACCTGGGGAAAGTTGTCCAGTTGTTTTTGCCCCGAGCTTCCGTTCATCCGATTTGCTCAGTTTGCAAGTTCCACTCGTAACACCCCCAGCATCGCCGACCATTGGCTTTTGGATTCTTGGTTTCGTGGCTTCTTGGGTCCCGTCCTGTCCTGTCGTTTTGGGCTCGGCTTGGCATTTTGGCTCCAAAAACGGTTCCGCTTCAGCTGGCGTTCCAATGCCAGGCCTTCAACAAGGGTTTGCAGAATCTTCTGCTGCACCGCTTGGACAACTTCCTGGGAAGGTCGGTTGCGCCGAATTGTTTGGACGACGTTCTGCTGGCCGCCCTCACGGTGATTTGAGGGTCTTCCATGAATCACACTACCTGAACATGCGGCCAGCTTTCGACTGACCGAATGATTCCCGCCAATGATCAGACCGGTGCCATTCCAACAGATCGCATCTGAGAGCGCCCTCAACGGCCTTTAATGGCAGGGTGAGCCCAGTCTCATCGGGGGAGACACACGATGTCTCCCTTAAGTTTTAACTTTAAGTGTCCGAAAGGCAGCCAACTCTTGTGGAGGGAGTCGGAAATTCCGAAGCCACAGCTGCAATGGGACGTTTTCATACTTTTTTTGTGACCAAACGCCAACAAACGAAAGTGCCAAATTTCACGGCCGCAATGACACATCCCCGCATGGTTAGCCAAAGGCTTCCCATTATGTGCACTTCTTCAGGGATGGTGCACCTGCCTAGACCACGGAGAGTCAAGAAATATGCGCAAAGGACAATATTACTTGTAGTGGTTTGTTCATTTGTAGAGGATATGGGGTCTGCCCAGTATCAATATCCACAATTTTCTCACCACAAATAGGGGGCCGACCTGTAAGTAATATTGTCCGTGGCTCAGAAAGCAGTCTCCGTGGCATCTTACTCCTGGGGTGATGTGTTGAAGCACCCCATTGGGACATGCTCGGCTTTGCTGACCGACCCCACAGAATGTCGACATGTCCAAAAAGGTGTGGGCGCGGGCTTGCATGTGTTCCCCAGTGGATCGATTTTCCTGGCTTTGTAGATCACCAAGGGCTTGCCACCCAAAAAAAAAGCAAGAGGAAATAGCTGGTTGCCCACAAAATTGGCTAACTGGAAATCTACTGTGTTTGTGTGTTTGTGTGCGTGTTTATCCGAGTCCCTGCACCGCACGGACGTCCGAAACAGATTGCGTGTTGAATGCCGCTGAACAAGAAGCACCCATATTTGGCCAAGGCAACAGCCAAACCGAGGGACATTTCTCAATTCTGCAAATGTCCTTCAGGCTCTCACTCCCTGAGGTCATGAGCCTTAAGCTTTTTGGGAAGACCAGTGGTAAACCTAAAGATTGGGTACTTTTCTTGGGCCATTCACGCAAGTGAGTGTTCTTCTACAACCATTCGATGTCTTGTTCAGAGGAAGCCCTTTCCGGGACGTCTATGACTGGTGGTCATGAAGAGGGCCCTTTCCGGGTGGAGGCCCCTCGCAAGTTGCACTCGCCCCAAATCAGAACGCCTAGATTGTATCACCAAAACATTGTGGTGCTCACGTGAACGGCTTGTCTTTTCCTGGTTCTAGTGGGAGCCCAGACTCTCATTTACCATTTGGGTAGAACCAAACAGGGGTCGTTTGATCCAAGTTCTCTCTCTCTCTCTCTCTCTGTTTCTCTGTCTCTTTCTGTCTCCCTGTCTCCTTCCTGTCCACGCCCCTCTACAGAACAAGGGTACCCTGATTCAGGCCTTCAATGAGCTTGGGAAATGCAAGTGGTGTCGCAGGGTTCCAGTCCCACCATGATCGTCATGAACTTGGCGTCCAACCAAAGATATTGCACACGAGTCCAGCGATGATGTTTATGCCGTGACAACGCGGCATGCTTGATTGACATTGGCGTGCGTGCGGCATTTCCGTACACTCCCGGATTCCTTTGGAGCATCCAAGTCAAGGCTGTGGCACGACTGTGACGCCCTCGCGTGGTCAGGGAATGATGCAGCACTGCGCATGTCCCCTTGTCAAGGAAAGCAGCTCGGGGGACTTCACTAGTTTCACAAACACGCCCCTTCGTTGCTTTCAGAATCTCAGAACCCTACAAGTCTCAGAGCTCTTGGCCTCAACTTATGGGCTGTCGGACTTCGCCCTCGTCCACTTGCCTGACTTGCGCGAGTGAGAACGTGGTTTGCTTGACTAGGAGCCGCTTGTGTGTGGCACACCTCTATTATTGGACTTTGCCGTCGTCCGGTTGCCTGACTTGCTCCAGTGAGATCTTGGTTTGCTTGAATAGCAGGCGCTTGTGTGTGGCATTCCTCTACGGTCCGGGATTCTGTCCAAGTTCAGGCTCGCGTGTGCAGGGCATGATGCAGCAGCGCGGCAACACAATGCTCAGTCCTTTGTGAAGGAAAGCAGCTCCGGTGATTTATTTGTTTCACACACTCCCCGCTCCGTTGTTTTCAGAATCCCAGAAACAGTTGGTTTCGCCTACAAGTCTCAAAGTGATTTTGCTCGTGACAACGCGCCATGCTTGATTGACATTGGCTTGTGTGCGGCATTTCCGTTGTGCGCGGCATTCCTGTATGGTCCTGGATTCTGTTCGAGCCATCCAAGTCCAGGCTGTGGCACCACTCTGACGGGCTCGCGTGAGCAGGGCATGATACAGCACTGCGCGGGCCCCTTTTGTGTGTCAAGGAAAGCAGCTCGAGTGACTGCATTAGTTTCACAAACACGCCCCTCCGTTAGTTCCAGAGGCACAAAAGCCTACAAGTCTCAAAGATATTTGTTTCAAGTTATGAACTATTGGACTTTGCCCCCATCCGTTTGCCTGACGTGTGCGCGTGACAACGCAGCATGCTTGACTGTGTGCCTTGTGCGGCATTCGTGTATGGTCCTGGATTCTGTTCGAGCCCTCGCGTGAGCAGGGCATGATACAGCACTGCGCGGGCCCCTTCTTGTTTGCAAGGAAAGCAGCTCGAGTGACTGCATTAGTTTCACAAACACGCCCCTCCGTTGCTTCCAGAGGCTTGGTTTTGCCTACAAGTCTCAACCTCAAGTTATGAACTATTGGACTTTGCCCCCGTCCGTTTGCCTTGCGTGCGGCATTCCCGTATGGTCCTGGCTTCTGTTGGAGCCATCCAAGTCCGGGCTGTGGTATGACTCTGATGGACTCGCGTGAGCAGGGCCGCGACAACGCAATGCCCTCCCCACGCTTTTTGGGGCTTGCGGGGACTCTTCTTGTTCTTAAAGGCCGAGCAGCAGTTGCTTGCATTTCGAGTGACACAATGAGAGCCTACTTGCAGCCTGAGCATGAACGAGAGACATTGCGCATGGAAGAGCATTCTGCCGCTGTTTTTGGCATGAGTCCTGGAGATCCAAGTCTGGGCTTTGGTGTGGGAAGTGAGACAATGATAGGCCACGGTATGACGCAGCACCGCGGCAACTCCATGGCGGTGTCCGCGCAATAAGCTTGCGAGCTCCATTCTTTCGCGGCAAGCGGCTCCCAAAATAATTTGTCCCTGCGGTTCTGGAAACATTTGGAATCCCACCGAACAGAAGGGAAGCCGATTCCACAAGATATACTATGAAATGGACTACCTGAGACAAGTGCCATCGATTCCGGGAAAAGATATCAAAACAAATTAAGCACATTTAAAATACAATAGATATAGACAACAATGCAGTATATATGTATATATGGGAGTCGTTCTAAAGGTCCTTGCAAGGAGTTTAGAATTCGGCGACCATCGGTGTTGTTTGAGGTACTCCGCGAAAGATTCTTTATGGAGTTGCGAAAGGAACTTTGTTTCTCGTGAAAGTTTTGCGTAACTGTATCTTGTAAATCAATGATATGTGAAACCATTTATCTTTGCTGCTGAGCCTTCCTTCTAAGCTGATTAAAACACTTTGTTGACTTTGCACTGATAGAGTGATAGAGCCAGGTGAGGCTACAGTTGAATACCCTGCTTGGCTGGTTAGTGCTCCAAGCCTGTGTATGTGCGTCTGTGGGTGTTTAGTCGGTGGCTTTCTGCTCTGAAACGTGGGTGATTTTTCGCGAAAGTTCCGCGAGAGATCCGCGAAAGCCCGCGCGAAACCGCAGGCTTCGATTGAAAGGGAGGTACTTTCTGAGCGTCGCGCTAGTCAGTATACTAGCTTGGTACTGGAAACTTGCGACTTTAAGCTAGAGCTGCACGGCTGACAAAAAGCTGCGACTTTCCAGCCGGTTCATGTCATGTACTAACCCTGTGATGAAAAGTTGCGACTTTACAGCTGGAGTTGGGGAATCGCATTTCGCGCACTACGCTGGCACTTAAAAGCTGCGATTTTCTGACTTGAGCAATGAAAACGGCACGGCGACGAATCCACGAAAGATTCGCGAAAGTACCTTTTTCATTCGCGAAGAATGTCCGTTTCGAAACAAAGGAATTTAGAACACCCACCATATATACGATAATCACGGCCTAATTTGATGATAGTGTTCATATACTGGTACGTTCTATGTTTAGATAAAGGATCCGGACATATAGAAAGTTTGTTGGGGTGTTGGTATATTACATTTTGTTATACATATAAATATTTGTTTATATACACAGCAAGGGTGTTTATATAAATATGATGTTTGAATTGAAGTTATCGAAACATATTTGAATTACATATTCTATATAATGTATGTTACGTGTACTGAATAGTTATGATCTGTGAGTTGGGACTTTTAAACAGATCTGATACGCTTGGATTATCATAATGCATGTTGTTTATGTGAAACTTTAGAGCCTCCGGCTCAGTCCGCCGACATTGTCCTCTCCCTTTTCTCCTGCTGCCTCTCTCTCCTGTCTCCTCCCCCGTGTGTTCTGTCGTCCTCTTTCCCTCTTCTACTCCCCATCCTACCCATCCCCCCAAGCCTCTCTCTCCTCTCTCTGTCTCTCTCTGTCTCTCTCTCTCTCTCTCTCTCTGTCTCTCTCTGTCTCTCTCTCTCTCTCTCTCTCTATCTCTCTCTCTCTCTCTCTGCATTGCAGCGTCACGTCCTAAACTGTCTGCTTACTACTGGCTGTTCCCTTGATGTCCCCTTCATGTCCTTTTCGCGTTTCCCATGTCCTGGTCATGCCCCTTCATTTCAACTCCCCTTTCGTGTCCCTGTCATTTTCTCGGTATGTCCGCTTCATTCTCCATGTATGTCCCGTTCTGTCGTTGCCAGTCATTTCCCGACGTCTCCCGTCGTGCCGATTGGTTTCCTTGTCCATTGTTTCCCTTTCATCACCCCCCTTGTTTTTTCATTTCTGTCCCTTTCATGTCCCCTTTCATTTCCCCTTGCTTTCCTGTCATGTGGACGTCCTATTTCCTCCCCTCATTTCCTTGCACTTCCTTCCTGGCATTTCCCCTGTGCTCCCCAGTGCTTCCCGGAAAAAAACACGGTTTTCCCAGCGTTTTCGCAAAGAGACACAAAGTTTTTCCAAATTTTCGGCAATAGGAGGCAGGAAACGGGGGATTCGCCTGTTTTGCGACTCCCCGAAGACTACGTTTAGTGGAACGTCATCAAATTACTGCGCGGTACATGGGGGATCCCCCCCCCAAAACCCTGCGTATTACGTTGGGCGGGGGGGGGGGAGTATCCGACACGCCAATGTCGGCGGACATTCGGATTATTAACAATACGAATTACATACATATATAGGATTTCGCTAACCAAACAACACCCCACATCACTGTGCGGTGTTCAGACTTTCAGTCTCGTCGCCCGTGACTCCCGCCGCCACCCTCCCTCCAACTCTCCCGCGTGACTCACCCACTCATGCATGCACA